CAACGCGGGTCAATCCAATCTCCCACCGAGCGCGAGTGCGTGCACACACATGTCCAATTCACAGAAACACTACAGATGACGGAAGTGTCACAGCTTTAGGGCCAAATCATACCAGCACATCCTCGCTCGGGCCTTCATTCCGCTCGCTTTTTCATCTTTCCAAAACCGTCCCTCTCCATGACAGGGAATAAAAATAGAGCATTCGGATCAGACTCGTCACTGGCTATTAACTACGCGTCCACATGTGAGGCATGTGACAGGAGTTAAATAGAGTTCTGTATGTGTGGTTTAGAGAGGGGGATTTTTCAGGGCATGATCTCATGAACTCCTTTTAGCCTAAATCCATCCCGGACTACCATTGATGGGGCATGTACCCTCAGTTACAGACACATCCCCAAAAATGACACGGCAAGAAATGAATAACTTAATCAAAAGTGACAGTAAAGACATTTATTATGTTACCAAATATTGCTGTTCTTATGAACTGTCTATTCATCAAAGAATCAGGAAGAAAATGCATCACAGCTTCCACAAAGCAGCACAACAGTTTTCAACACTGATAAAGATTTTTTTTTGAAGTTTTTGAGTACCACATCAGCATACTGGAATGATTCCTGGAGGATAATGTGGCACTGAAGATATAAAAAGTTATGTGATCAATACACTCATTGCTTTTGCGTTGCTTTAACTCAACAAAATAAGCAATTTTCTATTATTTTTTTTTACAAGATTAAACTACACTCATCGAAAGGATTATTAGGAACACCATACTAATACTGTTTGACACCCTTTCGCATTTAAACGATGCCCAATTGGCACTAAGGGGCCTAAAGTGTGCCAAGAAAACATCCCCCACACCATTACACCACCACCACCAACCTGCACACTGGTAACAAGGCATGATGGATCCATGTTCTCATTCTGTTTACGGCAAATTCTGACTTGTCTCAACAGAAATCGAGACTCATCAGACTCATCATTTTCAGTCTTCAACTGTCCAATTTTGGTGAGCTCTTGCAAATTGTAGCCTCTTTTTCCTATTTGTAGTGGAGATGAGTGGTACCCAGTAGGGTCTTCTGCTGTTGTAGCCCATCGGCCTCAAGGTTGTACGTGTTGTGGCTTCACAAATGCTTTGCTGCATACCTCGGTTGTAACGAGTGGTTATTTCAGTCAAAGTTGCTCTTCTATCAGCTTGAATCAGTCGGCCCATTCTCCTCTGACCTCTAGCATCAACAACATCGACATTCATTTTGGAGTTCAGGGGATTGTCTTGACCAGGACCTCACCCCTAAATGCATTGAAGCAACTGCCATGTGATTGGTTGATTAGATAATTGCATTAATGAACGCATTAAATTAACGGGTGTCCCTAATAATCCTTTAGGTGAGTGTATTTTTAAGTCAGTTTATTGTAGTTTAAGTTGAAATGACTTAAACATCCAAATTGATTGTACTTAAAAACAATTTTTTTTACAGTGAATGATGCTGGAAATTCAGCTTTGCCACCACAGGATTAAATTACATTTCAAATGTACTAAACGAGAACACAGTTATTTTAAATTTCACGATATTACTGTAAGTTTTAGTGTATTAAACTTTTAAACTAGTCTACATCCAATAGAATGTATTGGATTTTAATGTAGTTTTGACGCATTGACGTTTAAGCCCACATCTGGTTTCGGAATTCAGTTACAGAAACAAAGAATTGTATTATTGTAATGGACAAATATAATGGCTTTACTGGACATGCGTACTACTGACAATCCTGTGGCGTGAAAGTTAGCAGACAGGGAAAAATACAAATCAGTATTAAAAAACATTTAAACTATTATGACATTTTACTGGTTTGTTAACTAATACCATATGAATTTTGGTTACCAATGTCATTGTAAAAATGCACTATTACTAACACAAAAGTGTCCGATGGAAGGTTACCAAGATGAAGAGAGCCGCTGGTCATGTGATCTCAACAGGGCAACCTCCATTCGGTGACCTGTATCATATAAAATAAAGCTACTGGTGTGACTGAAGCCCCATTTCAAACCATTTTAAACAATTTTTTTAGGTTAATCTTACAGGTTTAGAATGGCATGAAGGTTCATTTTTGTGTGCTCTGTACCTTTAAGGCTGAAGCATTTTCAATGAGAGAAAAAAAAAATGACCGAGCTCACCTTTAAGCTCACATCTCTGTTAGGCCATGATTGTGTCTCAGGACAAGTGAAACACACCATTACACTGCAACATAAGGCTATTATCATGATACATTCACCTAGTGTTGCAGGAAGAGAGAGAGAGAGAGAGACGGACTAAGAGAGGAAAGAGGCAGCTGGTCTTCACTCCAGGTTGCAACTCAGAGCAATTAGAGCAGGCAGATGGCTAAATGGCTGAGAAAAAAAAAAAACTCCAACTCCAAACGACAGTGACAAGTGTGCCAGGACCAGAGATTCTGACCCCGTCAACTGAAAGAGAAAGAGAGGGAAAGGAAAGAATCTAGGGCACAGCTACTTCTGGAAGAAAACGTCTATTGTTGCATTAACAGGCACATTTCTTTCAGGGTCACCTGCGGATGCTGATACACACACACACCACTGAGAGGACCTGCTGAATACCTTTATCATGACACCAACTCTTTCGGTTTCACTCCCCCCTCTTCCACAAAGTGTGCTCTTGGTTAAATTTTAACCTGTTGAGATACGAGATCTGTTGCGTTGGTGTAAACAAAGAGGCTTTTTGAGAGCAAAGTTCCTGTAAGGCTAAACTATGCTGAGACAGTCAACTTCATAACCTAAAGGGAAGAAACTGGAATACGAACTCTACCACATTCTTTTTTTATATAGTGCGTGTGGTTTATTTCTGACTTGCGTAAAAACAGGTTTCAGTGATGCATCTGAATGCGAGACAAACAAAAACTAAGACAACATAATGACTTTGGAAAGGCTTTGAAGGCGTTTTTGATTTCGTCATCAACAAAGACAAACTCAAGAATGTGCTTCATAACCATATGATTATTGAAACATACTCCTGATAAAAATATGACTTGGCGGGAAAACAGATTATAGGATAATGCAACAAAAAGTAATGAATATGAAATCCAATTATTAATGTTGAAGATTGCCTCACACAAGCTGTATGCATGCAACACCAGTAAACTATGAAAGCCAGTTTCTGCCATGAAAAATAGTCAAAAGTCAAAATTGTGAGATACTGTAATTAGTTGTAATTAGCCTACCTTTTTTTGAGTTAAGATCATGAAATTCAGACTTTCTCAGAAATGCACGATTTTCTGACTTTATATCTTGCACTTCTGAGATTATATCGCACAATTTAGAGTTAACAACTCTAAGAACTAAAGACTTTTTATTTACATCTCAGTTATGAATTCAATATTATTGAATCTTATTTAGTGTGAAAGCTAATAGAGTTATCACTATTGTTATGTTACTTGGTTGTCACATTCACAAAATTGTATTATAGTCCAGTCATTTTATGAAAAAAGGTTGAAAAAATTGCAACAGAAGCAAACTCAACTGATTTTGTATCCTCAATATGTCCTGAGTAAGAAAAAAAAAGCCCCGAAGAATCCCATTAGGGGAAAGTTTCGAAAAAGACCCAAACATATCCCATTCATACATACGCCTATTCATTCTTTTTCTCATGTGAAAAGGGTAAAATGTTTAACCTTTCGGGATATCGTCATGAAAATCTCTCAGTTGATTACTTACATCAAGACAAACAAAAAATATATTACAAGTTTTTTGAAATTGTTTGTTGACATGGACAAATGGTGCATAACATAAATATGTATTAGCTAATTTGCATAATTACCCAAACAGGCCTACATTGGGTATATAGCAGGTGAAAATGTTTTTTTTGAATCTTGTTGACATATAACAGTAAAAGACTTAATGTTAAGGTCTGAATGGAACCCATTTAAGCTACCCACGAACATTAATACAGGAAGAAACCAGCCTTTATTAATTATTATGGCAGAGATGAGGTTTGGGCATTGAGTGCATTGTGTAGGTAATTCGATTTTTTTGATCAAGCCACTTTTTATTTCACCTATCTTTTGTCTTCTGCATTCTCCTTACCCATGTCTCCTGGTCTTCCCTCAGACTCATCCCCCAGAAACAGTCTGACCCAGCCCCATCTCTGCAATAATAATTAATAAAGGCTGGTTTCTAAAGTACTTTTTCCTGCATTAATGTTCATGGGTAAATGGGTTCCATTCAGACCTTAACATTAAGTCTTTCACTGTTATACGTCAACAAGATAAAAAAAAAACAACATTTTCACCTGCTATAACCAATGTTTAGATCTGTTTGGGTAATTATGCGAATTAGAACATGTAATTAGATTATGCACCATTTGTCCATGTTAACAAACAATTGTAAAAAAACTTGTAATACATTTTTTGTTATGTCTTGATGTAAGTAATCAACTCGGTGATTTTCATGATGATATCCCTAAAGGTTAAAATTTTTACCCTTTTCACATGAGAAAAAGAATGAATAGGTGAATGAATGGAATATACTTGGGTCTTTTTCGAAACTTTCCCCTAATGGGATTCTTCTGGGCTTTTTTTCCTTACTCAGGACATATTGAGGATACAAAATCAGTTGAGTTTGCTTCTGTTGCAATATGTTCAAGGTTGACCCCCATTTTGGCTTAAAATGACTGGACTATTAGTTTGATTTAACATGTTTTCCTTTCAACAAAAACATTATTTTCAACTAATATGATGCATTAACTGCGTGAAAATTATGTTTTGCCCAGCGTACCTGCATATTTTGCTTCACAAAGGGCAAAGATGTAAAAATAGAGCTTTATGGTGGATGCTTTGCGCCGCTCTCTTGCTCGGCCCATTTAGCTGTATTTCAGCTGGCGGTGTGATCTGTGACAGGTTACTTAGTTATCACCTATTCATTCACAACCCAGAAACCTGAATGAAAACATTGCAGGAAATGATTGAGCCCCAGAGCATTCAGGCACATACCAAGATCAGTCAAATATCTGTAAGACTTTAATAAGCAACCAAATAAAATAAAAAAGACAAAATTACAAAGACTGAGAAAACATTCAGATAACCAAAATAAATCCTAAAAGCAAAGCAACGCAAGGCGATAAAGCATTTAGTAGTATAGATGTGTTTTCTGTGTGTCCATTAAGAGTTCAAGAGCTCTGCTCAACAGTTTACAGCACAAACACGTTACAGGCATCAATAGACCACTCAGAATAAAAAACAATTAAAGCACAGATCATTTAAAAAAAAATATATAGAAAATAACAAACAACAGTAAAATCAACTCAATAGCACTTTACAATATTGTTCAATATGTTAACATGAATTAATGCACTAAGTAACAGTGAACATTTTTACAGCATTTATTCATCTAGATGAATCCTCATTTCGCCATAATTTTAAAGATTTAAAGTTGTTTAAATTAACACTATCCCCAAATTAACATTATCACTAACCTAGGTTAATAAATGCTGTAATACATGATACCTAATGCATTAAAAATGCGAACAAATTCAACATTATTTAAAGCGATACCAATTAAACCAAGGTATCCTTCATGCTCTCAGCAGTAAAGTACAATACACAAGGATGTGACATTAACGTTTAGTCTTATACCATGTTTATATATTTGTATTATGTACACAGGAGGAATGGTTTGTGACTGGTGACATTAAGGCTTTTAAATGTGTGCATGTGTGTACCAGAACATCGAAACCAGACGACGAGAAACGACGACTTGAGGAGACGTAACATCACGACTCCGCACTCTCTGGATATCTACATATGCCGTTTCGCATCTCAGAGGATACTTCTTTAATATTCTCAAGGCATCCGTTCCTTCATTACGGAATTCCTGGTGGAGACGTCGAGCTGGAAGGTCAGTGCGTTCTCCTCTAATGAGGAGCTAAAGCGTTCTGCCTCTCAGAGCACGAGTGACGAAATCACTTCCACTACTCACACATTCACTGATTGTGCTCTGACCTTTCAATCAGGATGTAAACTAAGCTGCGTCGAAACCCCGGCCTATTCGCTGCCAGGTGGATCAGAGCGCGTCAACCGGCCTATGTCAGACTGAGAACTTCAACTTTTCAGCGGCATTGATCCAGACGTGGCACTAATAGGGTCAGTGAATCAAGATGGAAGCCCAGGGAAACAACACTACGGTACCCAATATGCCCTCTGATACTCGGGAACAGAGCACAAGGGCAGAGAAGGAATATGTGTGTGTGTGTGTGTGTCCAGTTTAAATCACACTGTGTATGTGTGCGAGACCCTGAGAGACTGAGAGGAATAACTCACTGCCCTCGAGTCAGACACCATTTAACACGCTGACTCACTCATACACACATACACTCAAACTAGAAACCTTCCATATGTGAATGTGTTTGAACTCGGTACAGGTGGAACTAGTATTCCATACTAGATTACAGATATAAATATGTGATATGTGTGCTCTCATATAGTTCTGTACGCACAGAGCCGTGGTTGACATGCGCAACATTCGACCTGGATATTCGCCTCGCCCCGTCTTCGTATTTACAACATTTAGAAGTATAGATATTTGTTGTCATTTTTAAGAAAAATAAAATGTGTACATACAGTAGTTTACAAATCACCTCACATCGTACAATACACATGATCGTTCACTCATTCAAGAGCTTCTTCATTTTATTTTCCCTATAACAAGGCAGTGTATCTCACCGACCGAGAGGAACCTCAATAAAACAAGGAAATAACAGTACGTGATCTATAACTGTGGTGTCGGATGGGAGGTATATATATACTGTAGCTGCGTGGCCATGGTAACAATGAATAAATATAGATTTGTTGGTAACACTTTAGAGTACGGTTTAATTTGTCAGCATTAGGTATCATGAACTAACTTATACTGTATGCCCACAGCATTTAATAATATGAGCTAAAGTCAATATTGACACATACATTTCAAGTTCATAAATTAACATATTAATAAATGCTGTTAGTTCATGATAACTACAACTAATATTAACAAATTGAACCATATTGTAAAGTGTTCCATCACTTCGTAAGTTTAACAATATATTTAGTTGAATCCTTCTTTTCCGGCAGGGTTTGAAGTTCACTGCGAACAAGGATGTGACCCTGACTGCTGTTTTATTACTACAGCAATCTGCTACATTGTTTTGTGACTAAATGCAAAAGGAAATTGTACATTGTACAAAACAGTAAAACGTGCTGCCATCTCTTCGTGACTAAATGTATTGTGGGTGAGAACGAAGACATAATTCATTAATATTTGATTTGATTAGCCCCAAAACCAAATGATTCACTGGTGAGTCATGTAACGGGATTGAGATATTGAGTAAACTGCACACGTCATCTCGAGACAGATGAGCACTGTGCATGTTTGACTCTTTCATGATCTACACAATACCTAAGGAACAAGCTGAACGAGAGATGTAGCGCAGAAGAATGTGCTCCAAACCAACTCAATTGAAAATCAAGTTTGAAACTGGTTTAGGTGTCAAATCATGATCAACAGAAAATAACAACCTGTTAAAACGATTACATAACAGCACAGTGGATTTATATACATAACTTCATGTGTTTGTGCACGTCTTATATAGCACGCAGAGTCGACATCTGCAGTTTCGTATTACTCAGAACTTGTCCCCATGACAACCGGAGCAATAGTTAGGAATGGAAGCCTGACAGTTTTGCATTTAGTAGTCTCTATTTACTTCACCCGATCCATCAAGGTTTTAACCTATGCTATATCCAGCGTATTAATTCATCCATCCATTAATCCTTTTCTCGTGGTATTTGATGCCATAATTTGTTTTTTACAATAAAATTGATATTCGTTGAGAGGGAAAAAAGCGACTTTTCTGGAAGAGGTCCACGTTCACCCTTCAAGAACCTCTTTCTGCTCTCCTCTTACACATAGACAGCAGTCCGAGAGATCACAGAGCCATCCCTCTGGGACTCCATGTCATCATCTATGTCATCTTCATGTGGGCGGAGCTGTAGGATGGGTCCAGCCCCGCTGAAATGGTCATATCGCTCATCCTCTTCTTCCAGTTCATCAAATTTCTTCCTTTCTACCTCATCCATCTCTCTACTTAGCAGGATATCCTCCGCCGTGTGAGTGCGCGTGGTCTCGAGCAGAGCCACGCCCCCCGGATGCATGCCCTGATTGGCCGTTTTCTCGTTAAGCCCCACATCTCCTCTGTAAATGGGCGTGTTGTTGTTCCCGTTGTTTCCGGTACCGTTTTTGCTTGACTTGGCAGAGCCAAAGAGGCGGGTAAAGGAGTCGTAGGGAGCACCGGTTGGCTTGCCGGTGCCGCGGTAACCATGCTGTTGGCGGCGATTATGGGCTACCAGGAAGTAGGCGAGGACACTTAACAATACGATGGCCAGAAGACACGCGAAGATCACGCCTGCGATCACACCTGCATTCGAGGAGGTAGGTGATTGCTCTAGAGACGGAAAGGTCAAAAAGAGAGAAAAGAAAGGAGAACAGAATTAGATTCATGGAAAGGAAATGGAAATTAAATGTTTAAGGAAAAATCTAAACCAAAAAGAGATTTGTTGCCTTTCGGTCCATGTCTACTAGCGCTGAAGTAAAAATATTGATGACTCATCCTGTACTACAGAGATTTCGGTCCAATAAAATGCTCTCTAGAATAAAAAATGTCCTGCCCCCTAAAATAAAAATGCCACCTGAAACTGACTAGCAAGTACCAGACCTTGGTTCATGTCAAGTGAAAAATACTGTAAAGGGACCAGCCCTTTGATATGTTCAATAAAAGTGGAGATTTTGATTCATGTGACTTCAATCGTTTGAACAGTTCAGTAAAAAGATTAATTCGGTGACCCTTTTAGATAAGTGTCAACAATTGTTTTTTTTTTTTGTGATATGAATGATTATTTAAATAATTCACCTTAACAAGTTTGTTATTAGACACCAAAATATCTTATTACCCTTTATTGGAATTTGTGTATACACATTTGACAAATTATTTTGACAATATTTTATCACCCATTTTTCTCTACTTGTTGTGAACGAGACTGACTCATATGCCAAACTGAACAAATGACATGGCCGAAAGTTGGTCAATTCTCTGTCACAAGTAAGATTCATTAGTTCGTTCAAGCCCTAGTTCTTCATGTGATGGCTCGTTCAATGTGTTCCCCGGAGTCTTGTTAAGACTCCAAACAGACACTCGTTCAGTTAAGAGCATATTTGTTTAGTGCATCCAACAACAACAAAAATATCAGAGTCAGTGCAGTGCATTTTTTTCACTTAAAAGAAGAATATAAAAACACTGAATCATTCACAAACATCTGATGTAAGTGTTTTCATGAGCATCCTCTTTATGAGGACTAAGGAAAAACTATTTCCAGTTTACTAGTTTTCATGGACTATTACGTTAGAGAAATTTGTGTTTCACAGGCATAGTTTGTGATTTGAAATGTAAATAAAATAAAATGATAAAATAGAGCCAAAATAGCGAAAACTGCAAAGCCCATTTTAATATCAGCGTCAGTTACGATACTCGTCTAGATTTCTCTGTTCACTTATGTGGGTTTATTATAAACAGCCACGTCTATAAACCATTGTAAAGTTTGTGTTTAAATAGGGCTTTAATCATAAATGAAAAGGTATATCAACACGTAATTCATTAAAAACCATAAATCACACCTAGAAAGCACACACTCTCACCTCTGTAATAAACACGGATGTTAGTCCGTCGAATCGGTACATGAATTCACAGACGACGGGTGATAAGAATTGCAAATCAAACATCGTTTAGAAAACTAGTCTTGCCCGGCTTATGTTGAATGAATGTGGGAGAGTGACATTTATGTGCAATTCCTTAAGGGGAACTGCTTTCCATAAGGTCAGTTTGCAGAATTCACAATTACAACTGCACAATGAATAAGGAAACACAGCACCAGCATGCAGTTTCACATAAAACAGAAAAGAAAGGATGATGGACAAAGGGACGGATGACTGGTTGACGGATAGATGAGAGGATGGAAGGCATAAGAGGGGAGGCTGGGACTGACAGGGGAGACAGCAGACAGACGCATCGGCCTTGAAGCCACAAACGCACAACAGCGCACAGCTTCTTCCTCACTGCCCAGCGAATGTGTGTATGAGGTGAGTGTGTGAAGACGTGACTAGCATTGCTGAAAGAGAGCAGTGCATGTGTTAACACCCAAAATAAACAACATCATAATCTCGAACTCAACGTTTTTTTATCGATTGTCACCGGTTTTCTTGTGCATCTCGCACAGACACACAGCTAACGGGAGAGACAACAGGAACACAATAATGTCTGACTGCCTCAGTCGCAATGTTCCCATTAGCCACCCACTGTGGCGTACTTCTCTCTCCCACACACACACCTCCAGCTCCCACTGGTTCAGCAGGAGTGAGCGTGTTGCTCTGATCTTTGAGTCAATCTCTCACTGCCTTGTCTGAGTCTTCTGAATTATACATGACAGTATGATCATATAGCGGCCACACACACCCACCGATCTACATGGCTTCATTAAGGAAGATTTCACGCTCACACAGCCTCGGAGGGGTGCTTGCCCGTGCCGAAGTCGTAGTCACAATCCAAGGGTGTTGGCACACAATCTAAAAGGTGTTCTGATGGTTTTCAGCATGTTGCTATGCGATTTCTAGGGCATTCTGGGTGCTTTCTAGCAAAGGCACTGACCAAGAAGCACCAAAATTTGAAGTAGTACCGAATCCATAATAATCTGTAACAAAGGGAATATTTTTATAGATGTTTTCTTCCCCATAGGAAGTTATTAAGGGGGCATTGTCCATTGTTGGCTGCATCTTTTTGATCTTATTTTGTATGATTTATCCAATATCCAGGCATACATTATTTTATTTTTTTGACTTCAAAATTGTTATAACTTGACCTTCCGGTGAAACAAGAGACTTATCTGTAATCTATTCACTCCGTTGTACGTCATTATTTGGAAGAAAGATCTGCTGCTACTTCTGTTACATCACAACTTTAAAAGTTACTTAAAGGGATAGTTCACCCAAGCCTTAGCGCACAACACTAATTATAATGTATTACCACTAATGTAGTCTCTTCATCTTTCTCTAAGTACTGGCAGTATATTAATAAATGTACATATTACCGCTCTGAAGAACTCTAAGTGAATGGCTGAGTGGATGAATGAAGCTCATGGAGCTTTTCTAGACAGAGGAGACCAAAAAAAAAAAAGAAAATCACATCCTCTTTTCTTTTTTCCGTCACACCACTGGACGGGAGAGAGCAGAACAAGGCAGAGGAATAGATTTTTTTTCATGATTGCTGGATGGAGAATATGACAAGTGTCTCTAGAGTTGAAACTGAACGATGGAGGAGAGAGAGAGTGAGAGTGAGAGAGTGGGGGTTGAATCTAGGTTAGCCTGAGAGCAACATGAGGCACAGTGTTGAGAAACGATTTGGATTCATGCTCTGGCTCCAGTGGTGGAGCTACAAAACATGCTCAGAGGTATCTCTGTACCGCTCTCGTGCTTTCAGGAGGAACACCGAGACAAGATCTGTGCGGGCCGACCTTAGTCACCATGGAGATAGTTGCCGGGGGAGAAAACAGCCATGCGACCGAGAAGGTAGTGGCCATTTCATGGCTGTCAAAACGGCTGCACTTAGGCAGAACCACTTCACGGTTAACCAACGCTTCCCGCGGCGCTCCACAAAACATATCTCCTCTTGCACCTGATTCCTCCACTACATGCCGCGAACGGCAACTGAACACAACGAATTTTGTCCGCACATGCACAACACAGCCTGGCTCTGCATTACGGGGCTGATTAGCATTTCCCTTCCGCTCTTCCTTTGACAGAGGAGGATAAGAGGCCGGGAGCTGAAACAGCACTGACTGACTTATCCTCACCGAGAGCCTCTTGTTGGGGGGGGGGGAGGGGGGTGGATAGCAGTTTTGGAAGGCACAGAAGTGGCTCAGGCAAACAAAACGAGAAAGTTTGAAGTGAAGAGGATGAAAGTGATGCGAGCGGAAGAGGAGAGGAGAGCGAGAGGATGCACGTGCGATGGGAGAGCCGTAGGTTCCCGGGGGGTTGAAATGCCTCCAGCGTTCATCCGCTCCACCCTCCTCATTTAGTTCAGTCTCTTCCTGCTTGCCCTTTTCTCTTGTTTTCACTCTATGAGAATATGGGAGGGACCAAAGTTGGAGGGAAGGCAAGATGTTGTCAGTTTAGTGTTTGATAGGGGAATGTACATTTCCAAGTGAACAAAGATTTGCCTCAAAGCCACACAGATCTGCAAGGACACGTATGTAGGGGAGAGAGAGAGAGAGAGGATAGCAAGGGGAATGGAAGAAGGTAGAAGGCTTTTAAAACCCAAGTTGTGAGAGAAAAGCACCTTTCCTCCACATTACCTAAGAGCTATTAGTCTTGCTCAGCACTAAAGCAGCTCAGTCTCTCCGCAGTCAACCATGTGGATATTTTATTCCATCAGCCTGTCACAGAACATCAGAACGGGCCAGAAAAAGCCAAAAGAGGACAATTTTGCAATGACGACAATCAAACGTAGCGCTCACTTTGGCCATAAAGCTATGGGAAGGGCAAGAGTAGTTTACCAGAGGTCACAAATCAAACCAACCCCCATCTGAATACCAGTGATAAATTCAAAGTTGCCATATTCAAAAAATGTATAAGTTAATAAAAAAAATGGAAGAATCCTAATGGAATCAAATAAGCATACTTTAACTTTGATTAACTTTGATTTTGTCAATAAAGACCAAATGAAACAAATGCCACATGGTTACAATTAAATTACATTCATGAAAATATTAAGAGAAAATCCAATCATATTACATTGTGTTATGATTGCCCAACTGAAACACAAGACAATTTACTAACTAGTGGGTCCAGACGCTCACTCAAATGCATTTTATACAACGTGAAAGGTTTGGGGTCAGTAAGAATTTAAAAAATATACATACTTTCATTTAGCAAGGTCACATTCAATTGATCAAACTGACAAAGATTTTTGCATTGTTATAAAAGTAAATGCCATTCTTTTACATTTTCTATTCATCAAAGACTCTTGAAAAAACAGTTTCTACAAAAAAATTAGGGCGTGAACTACAAAACAGTTAATTTTAACTAATACTATTTAACAATCTTCATGATTTACTGTATTTTTGATCAAATAAATGCAGCCTTGGTGAGCATAAGGGACTTCTTTCAAAAACATGAAAATCTTACTGACCGAGTGTGTGAGGAAACTCTAACTACGACATAATTTCACGCATTGTGAAATTGCTTTAAAACTATGCAGCAGCAAGTGATCAACATATTGACTTGCATACCTTCAACATATTGACTTTATCTAAAGGATTTATTTCTGAATATAAAAGAACGATGATTTAAACAGAAAACTGTCAAAACACTGTTCAAAAACACCCAAATACAGCTGCACTCAACCTAACCCCACCCAAACACAGTTACATCTGCAATCACACACTCCTTTCTTCAGAAAATGTCCTTTAGAATTCTACAGAGCCTATGTCACATATTCCATATCAACAAAAGTCTCAGACTACATTAAAAACGCCACCATAGAGACAGGAACAGCTGAATGCTGAGGGATGACAGTGCATGCAAGGTAATGTTGAGGACAAATAGAGTGAAGAATAAAACAAACATGCAGACAATGATAGTGCCAACAAACTGCCTTATGTCTGATCTGTAACCCCTTGTCTGAAATTGAGTCTAAATATCCAACTAATTCCTCTGTCACCACCTCACACTCACCACTGTATAAATATGTGAGGGTCCTGTTAGGAAATACTATAGATAGACTCACCCCTCACAAAGACGGTGATTTGATCTCTGGCGTATCCCAAGCTGTTCCTGACCTCACAGATGAAGGTGGTATTTATTGTGTCATCCACCTTCTGGACAGCGAGGCGGTTTTCCTGCACCTGCACTGTTTCAGGCATCAGACCGGACAAACTGTGGGACAACATTCAGACAATATGATCGCAACTTTTCAGCTTAAAAGACATAAAGCTTAAGCCCGGTTCACTTTGCAACTTATTCTGGCCAAGAACCACCCACTTAGACAGGAAGAACCGATCTGACTGAAAACAGTTTATTTTTATCATGCCATTCAGAGGTGGGTTTATTTGAAATTATTGATACCGCAATAATAGACTGGTATGGTAGCTGATTTAGAATAGAGAATGCCATATTGAGAAAGTGCTTTCCGTTTTTGGGCTTGTCAATGGACAGTGGGCGGTTTGTGGCCATTATCTTAAGCCAGGTTAACACTCAAATGTTTTAAGTATTTTTCCAATAGTTCTTGTCAGATTGTACGATATATTCCCAATGAAGTTGAGTAAAAGCCATGCTACACTGTGCAACATCAATGATACACATCATAGCCATGTCTTTGGTCCCAATCGTCCAACTGACATCTCATAGTGCGACGGACACTGACTGACACTTTGTCTGATACTGAGATTGTTTGCATAGGCTAGGGGTTTCCTGCTCCTGAAGGGCAAATGTTCTGCAGAGATTAGCTCCTACCTGCCCCAACACACTTGACTGGAAGCTTTTAGTAAACCTGATAGCATTGATTCGTTCAGGTGTGTTTAATTAGGATTGGAGCAAAACCTGACTGGAAAATAGCTTTCTAGGAGCAGGACTGGACATCCCTGAACAAGCCAATCAAGATCGCTAGAGACTTCCAGACAGGTGTGTTAGAGCTAATCTCTGCAAGTAAGTGGCCCTTCAGGAGCAGGTTAGGACAACCTTGCACAAAGTGATCAAAGCCTGCAGATTTTGCCCTGCAGCAAAAAGGTGCCTAAAATTCCACAGCGTAAACCCGAATTAAGGCTCAGACTAAACAGAACTGAAAGTGAAAAAAAAAATGCTCACGTTTTCCAGGTGACAGTGGTGGGGTGGGGGTTTCCATCAAACTGACAGGTCAAAAACGCACTTGTCCGGCCCCTGTACCAGTTGTTATCGTACCCAACGATCTGCACTTGGGGAGGATCTGATAAAGAAAGAAAGACAGAGTGAATAGGTGGATCGAAAAACTAGCCTTTATGAATGAGTTTAGCCTTGCACCATTGAAGTCAGATGTAAATCGAACACTGATACGGTCTGTCAGCTGACTCATTAATGATCTCCTAATTGACACCTTAGCTCATGTTTCTGGTCCAAGCAGCACTGTAAAGCCTCAGGGTAATTTACTTGATGACCTTTACTAATTTCTGGCATATTCTGAGACACATTACTGGCCTGGACTGATTGAGACATGACTCACTACAGCAATTATCAGCTATAGCAACAGGGAATGCTTAGCGTAACAGCATTTGGATCAGTAGTATCCAGTAGTGTAATAAATGATTGGATTGATATCTTACATTCAACAACAAGTTTCATCGGGAAGGTGTCAGGCTTGGACATGGTGCGGTGCGACACTACGCAGCTGATGTCTTTGCCATTATCCGCTGGCTGCGGAGCCAGCATGTAGGTGCTCTGGACGGTGACCGTATTATCCGCATTGTTCGTCTTCATCGGCGTCGACACATTTCCGTTAAGCGCCGTTGACCAAGAAATGGTCGCTGCTGGACGGCCATTGGATGATTCACACCGCGCCACAATGACCGGGGTTGTGCCGGCAGTAACTGTGACAGTTGTAGCCATGTTCTTTGGTTTAGCTGTGAGAAAGAGAGAGAGTTTGACCTTTATTTGATGCTATAATGTGAAGGAGGGTAAGGGAGGAGGAGGAGGGGAGGAAGTGGAGATGGGAAGATCACAGATCGGCTTGTCCTGCCACACGCTAGCACAGCGCTCACATTGTACTCACGTTTCGCTCTGAGAAAGACATCAAAGAGAGGGAAAGGAGAAAAGCAGGGGAGACGGGGAACGACAGGGAAGCGACGGCCTCTCAGCATGATAAGCAGGCAGATCAATAGCGGAGAGAGAGAGAAGGGAGGGGGACGAGCGAGCAAGAGCCCGGCCAAGGTTACTGCCACATTTCACACACATTAACAGCAGCACAATTGATCTGACAATACCATTTATAAATCCCCTTTAAGCCCACAAACGGACACAGGCGTGAGTCTGAGTATGCGTAAACGCACATACTCTTTGAAGCAGGATAAGGCTGGAACTTAATAAATAATTGTATACACAACCAAGCTGTCACTTCACAATCGTGTTAAAAAAAAAAAACGCTTCAACTTTTTTTAATGAATATATTATCAATTATAATAACAATATATATAATTTTAATTTTATGAACGCACACTAGGCATAGGCATAGTGCTGCTATACACACAAATCTACATGTAAATCCCATTACATATTCATTTAATCAATAATAAAAATTTGTTGTTGAAATTTTCTTCATAAATCTTTAATTATTTAACTGATTAATGTTTCTTTTCTCCTGTGCAAACAAACACACACTCACCCAGCATGACCAGTGAAGACACTCCCTGTTCATTGCCGGAAGGGTAGGTGGCATATTCACAGATATATCGTCCCTCATCGGTCATCTTCACATCTGTAATCTGAATAGATGGGTTTTCCAAAGTGGGCGGGTTTGTTACAAAACGGACGCGCCCATATAGAGGGGACTTGTCAGGGTAATTTGCCCCAAAGTTTGGATGGAAGACTGCGATGTTGGTTCTCTCTACGTCAGTCTGTTCAAAGATCCATGACACCTGCATCCCAGAGAAAACTAATTCAGCAGGTGACCAACAGATGATTACAGCACATAAACACTTTCAGAAAGGTCTCACTACGAGCCCAACAAACATTCTTTCTACAAACTCTTGTTCGTTTGGGTTTCACAACTCTGCCTAAGACTGGTAGATAACATGAAGTTGATTTCAGACCTGAGTGAGCTGGGTGTCGCCTGGATTCGGAAAATGGCACCGCAGTGTCACAGCCTGGCCGGGATATGACTCGACTTCTGCATCCACCCTCACGCGCTGAGCCAAAGACCCTGGAAAGAGAATGAGAAAAGGCCATGAGAACAGGAAACGACCTTCACTTCTGTCCGGCTAAATTCAGATGACCCGCGACCACCTCGCCGAGCGCGGCCAGAGAGAAATTTAGCACATACTGGAGTAGTCTAGGAGTTCAGGGATGACAAAATGATAAATGAGGTTACAACCGAACAGCAAGTAGGCCAATGTTTCTGATCTCAGTCAGGGTGTGCGAATCTAAATGTGTGTGTGCGCAAGTGTGTGTTAAAGTATCTATGAAAAAATAACGTTCAGCTCGCTCTCTGCCTGAAGCATTCATCATCCAACATAACCCTGACAGAGCAAATTCAGCAGCACACGAGTGTGTCCGTGAGCGCACCTCAGTGCGGGTGTAAAGTTAAAATTGCACCTAAAACATAGAAAGTACCATGGGAGTACTGTATATGTCAGAGACTTGCAGAGTCTGGCAGAGTTTGAGATTCATTATTTCATTTGCGTATCATTATTACATTTGCGAGAGTTTGAGATTGCTCGCAAATGAAATAATGATACTGAAATATAGTGATACTGAAAAGGCTATTATTGGTTTGCATTTTTAAATTAGTTTTTATTTTAATATCATTTTCAAATTTCAGTTTAGTTTTAGTTCGTTTTATGAATGTTTTTGTTAGTTTTAGTTTAGTTTTTATTTTGTTTTAACACATTTCTATTTCAAACCTCTTAATAAAAGTAAAATAACTTGATGAACAAAGAACCAAACAAATGCAACTAAAAAGTTCATATTAATTCATAATAATGAAATCTTGTTAAACAAGGTGTATTAGAAAAAGAAAAAGGCTATTTCAATGATTAATCCTTTTAAACATTACTCTTGAATTGATCAATTTATAATTTTTGTCTATTGCATCTTTTAAAAATCACATACTTAGTTTTTTCCATTTTCTGCTTAGTGTGGTATCCTGTCTAATATGTGTGGTATCTTGTTTAGTTTCACATGGGATGGTTATCTTATTTGGCATTAAGGTACAGCTATATTTGCATAAAGTCTAGTCATGATAGAAATACTTATAATGTTCACACAGAAAGCAGTTTTGCTTTGAAAACGAAAAAAAAAAATCGCAGTGGAATGGGGAAAACGCACAAGGCTTAGAGATACTTCTTTTAAAAGTTATTTTAACTTGAGTGTGTTGCGTTTTTAGAGTGTCATGTCATGCACGAAATGATGCAAAGACTCGAGCGCAATGGTCACACATTGAAAAATAAAGTAACGCAGTGGAATGGAAAAAAAGTCATTTTTTACGGTACAGGACGACAGCTTATTAATTACTGATGTTAGTTTCGTTTAGTTTTAGTTTTTCAATTATGTTGAAATTTCTATTTTATTTCAGTTTACAAAAATGTTTTTTTGACCACTAGTTTGTCTCTTAGTTTCGGTTTTCGTTTACGAAAATAACCTTGGATACTAAAAATGATTTTTTAATTTAAATTAAAAGTTATGTTCTGATCTATTATTCTCTCATTAACTGTTATATTTTTCAATGATTCAACGACATTAGAAAGTTAAAACTATTGCAGGTGTTTTTCATTGCACATTTTTCAATTTATAAAATCTTTCAGTATTTATTTTTAGGGAAATTACTTGGTAGGGAAGAATTTTTTAATGGTTTAAAGGGGGCGTGACAAAAAAAGTTTGAGAACCACTGCTCTACAATGATATTATAAAAGTCTATCCACAGCATAAAGTTTTAAAACTCATTCATAAAACATTTACTGTTAATCACCAAATTTGCGGTTGAATTAATGTCATTTCAACAGGGATTTGTGCAAGATTACCCACACAGATTTCACATAAGGTTGGAGTTTTGCAGCATTCGCACCAAAAGAGAACTGCTTGGTTTGAAAGTGACTTCTATGTGAGCCGTGCTTCATGCATCACAACACTACTGACAATAGAAAATGGAACAATTTTTCTAGTTTAAATGAGCTTAAGAGAGAGACCGGAATGAAAAAAAAACCCTAAAGTATCATAGGTATAAAACTAGTTAGACCAGTTTGACTGCTAACCAGCTGAAAAGACTGAAACTCGCAAATTGAAAACAAAGAGCTTAAAAAAGTAAACATGTTTTATGAGAAATCTCATTTACTTCCTTATTTTTATCTGGAACACATGGTTCAAAAGTCCACAAATATGGGATTAAAAATGTATAGGTTACTAAGTAATTTGTGACATTGATCATTTAACTCTGTACAGACCATCAGATATTTTTCAGAGTCCATTCAACTTGAGTGCTGTTGTCATTAAAGTGAAAGAGGAAACACAAATACTAAGACTGTAATGCTAATAATAACTTGTATAAATAAATGTGTATAAAAAAGAATAATTTAGACAAACTGAAGCTTTTTTTCCCACAAGTGGTGTTGCGGACCCCACCGTGTCTCTTTTTTGTCTTCCGCAGGTGCTGAAACGGAGACGAATGTGTGTGTGTGTGTGAGAGACCACAGAGGCGATTACTTCTGAGCCTGCGTTTAGCACCACTGAGCCCTATTATTGAAAATCTCCCTCTCGCCGTCTCTCTCTGGATGGAGAATGTGGATAGGTCATTACACTGATGTGTAGAGGTAGTCAGGTGTCCATCAGAATGCTAAACACATACACTTCACACCTTAACATAGCAACACGGTGTGTAAATAGAAAGAGGGGAATGGGATAGAAGATAGAAAGATTCAATAATAAACTGAAAGCAGTACAGAAGAGCAACCTGCAAGTCAGTGTAGATGCCGTATTTAATTTCACGCTAATAAAAAGGCTGTAAGGGTGTACATGTATGGTACCATATACTCATACTGTACATACTAGTTGTCTTAAACCTACTTGGTTACTCGCATAACCTCAGTTCCCTGAGTTAGGGAATGAAGTACAGTATTACGGGAAAACACCTTTTCCTCGATTCACTGAAACCTATATGTAAATGGGTCAATGACGTATAAGGATTTTCCACAGGCCAATTTTAAAATACTAAAAATAATAATATCTGTTGCAATTGTTCAAACATTAAGGATGTTGTGTACACCTAAATTCATTTTAAAAATTGAATTTAAGTGATTTTAGTGTTTTTTCATCTAGATGAATTGTCCCTAGCCTTAAAAAATGTCATGTGGTGCGACCGTGATTTATCTTAAAATGTATTAATTTCTTTAACATGCTTAAACATTATTTTACAAGTTCTTAGTAAGTAAAGTGTTTAGAAACCAAGTATTTGCAATTCTTTTGAGTTTTCGTAAATAATGATCTCATTTTTTGTTCTATAATTTCTGAGTTGCCTTCTTAATTCTAGTTAACAGACTTATTTTTCCTATAAATCACATAAAACTGATAGAAATGTTTTAAAAATCTAATTTCCTGAAGCATACTATATCTGTGATTCATATTTCAGCCACAGAAATAAAATATGTATTTTTTTAATTTAATACAGTGATTGCTTTTATTGGTCGCACCACATGACAAGTGGTCGCTCCAAATGACATGAAGACCTTATATAGTTAAAAATCTATTTAAAGAGAATAATGAACAATACATTTTATACATAAAAATGATTTAAACCAGATTTTATACAAATTTCAAAGAATTTTCTTGAACATTAAAATTTAATAAACTTTTTTTTTATAAAAATCACATCACAAACACAAGTGCACCATTTAATTTAACTTGACTTAGAATTTCGTTCTAACAAATAATAATGTTATATATATATTAAATAAAGATGTTTTATATTTTGTAAATGTCCTAACAGAAATGTATAAACATTTATTTTTGTGAGTGAATATAGCAACATTGCAAACATAAATGGACAAACTTAAAGGCGATTTTTGTAGCACCCTCAGATTCTAGATTTTCAGCTGTATCGGCCAAATATTGTCCTATCTAAACAAATCATACATCAATAGACAGCTTATTTATTCAGCATTCATATGATGTATAAATCTCAATTTAAAAAAAATTGTGTGATGGATGTGACCCATATGACATTGACCCATTGAGTGGTTTTATGGTCTAGTGTTACATGTTAGAATGATTTCTGAAGGATCATGTGACACTGAAGACTGGAGTAATGATGCTGAGAATTCAGCTTTGATCACAGGAATAAATTAAAGTTTACTATATATTCACATATAAACCAGATATTTTAAACTGTAATAATATTTCACTCTTCTTCTCTACTCCGCTCTTGCTGCAGGGTAAGAATTTTTTTCGCTTGGCAGGCAGTGGCATCTGGTAAAATAGATTAAAATAGTTTTATATAAATAAATAGGCAATAATAAATACACTACAAATAAATGCAGTATTACTAAACTGAAATTACATGCTCTATTTTTTTTTTGGCATTTTTCTCATATTGTACAAAGAGTGAACATAAACTGTCTGAAATATATTTAAAAAAATCCCAAATTGCATAAAAATCTTTTCCAAATGATACTATAGTAAAGTACTTTTTTTAAATAAACCATCGATTGAATATAAAAGCATAAAACTGCCAATCTAGGACATATATCTATCATTGAAAACAGTCTGCATTGGTCGCACCACATGATATTTGGTCGCACCACATGACATTTTCAAATTCATTCATAATTTACAGGCACAGAAATGGCCACCAAAACAAAACAAGCTAGCTTGCCAAAAAAGGTCAGTATGAAATTTACAATAAAAATATATATTTGTAGAAATAACTTTAATATTAAATTTTTTTGAGGTCACACCACATGACATCCAAATTTGGCAACTACATACCAACCATTACAAAGGTTTATTTTTTTTCCAATTTGAGAGAATTAAAAACCTGCTTGCTGCTTCCATGGGTCCTTGGTAAATTGGTTTATGATGTAACTTCCTGTGTTTAAATAGTTTTCAACATATAAGTCCCAAAATGGTAGTTCTTTGATGGTCGCACCACATGATATTTCATAAAATAGACATCATCGGACAAAGTTTGTTTGTATATTATGATGGGAATATAAA